TTTATTTGCTGGTTTTCATGTAATGCCAATGCTACAATAAGTAAAAAAAAATCTAAGAGATCATTGAGAACCGTACACAGGTCGTTATATGAAGAGACTTTACTTCCATGCGAATCGGTGGCTTTTCAACTGTGAGGGCGATACCGAAATTCTGGAAAGACCGGTAATGACCGCATCACTAAAGGGAACTTGGAAATAGATCTGCATGTACGAAACCTATTGTTCTGCCATTTCGATGTAATACGCTCGATTGTGAGTTCAACAATAGGGAGAAGATAAATATTTTCCTAGTAGTTGCTTCAAATTTTTTGCGGATACGGATGCGGATTTTTATTCGATATTTTCTTGTTGTGCTCATGAACTGAAGACAGATATTGCACAAAGTAGTGCTTCAGTTTGTTGACTTGTTTGAATAGTTGTTTTTTTAATGTGGTAAGATCTGTGGGTACGAATTCACTTCCTTTCGCTTCTCTGGTATAATATTATGCTTCTTGAGCATTCACTGGTTCATCGAATTCGTTGAGGGATATGCTCTCTTTTCGGGGCCTACAAGGTCTTATGAGATCAATGGCAATTGTTCTTCTCATTCTTACGTTGGAGATTGAGCGAGTCAGAAGTAGAGTATTCACTTTCGCTCCCAGTATGAGAATAAGCCAGTTGTCCAATTGGCTCAATCAGGATTATCCGTGCCAAGGTGAGGAAACCAGCATAATCTGCTTTTTTTTTAAGATCGTGAAAAGTGAACAATGCGTAGTCGATAACTCGAGCTACTCAGAGGCTGTTTTAATTAACATTAACAGTATACAGTACGTTTAATGATCTACCTGAGTGGGCTCTGACTTTGGCTCTTTGCCCACTGTAAATCGTCCAACAACCATGGCTACTCTGCTCAACAATTTTATAGAAGAGCTATGTCTATGTATTTATGAACACAAAAAATATGCTCCAATGGTGTGGGTCTACCTAACTTCTTTTTTGCTTTTGGAATAAAGAGACCACGAAAGCTCTTCGCATACTGCAATCAACTATCTCCGCGCAATCATAAAATGTTTAATTTATTGGAATTTTGAAGTTTTCAGGTGACACCATCGTGTTCGAAGAGAACAAAAAGACCGTCACGTTCATCGACGAGAGCATTCAGGTAAAAGTTTAACAATTACCAGTGCTACTGCGAAAAATTGCTACCGAAATAAGTAGAAGAAGTAGAAGTACCATAAAAACGAGTGTGATCAGCTCATTTATTTTCTAAGTAATGATGTGAGCGAAATGATCGAAAACCTATCGTCAGTCTAATAACTATTATATCTGCGACAATGCACAGGTTGAAGGATAAAGTTTTGGGGCAATACTCAGTCTCTCTAGGGATGCGCTAACACACGCTCGACTTCCATTCAGAATCGTAGTGGCGTGATGAGTGCGTATGTGGCCTAAACAATGACTTGCGGTGGCCAGCCCATGTATAAGTCAGTGCTTTTATCCTCCCAGACGAGTCTGGTACTAATTAACCGACCCCGGAGGAATGGAAGGCTTGGTTGGCCGAGGCGGATCTGAACCCATGGTAGCGATAAACTCAAAAAAGGGCCAGGCGATTAGATGGATTGTTGCTGACGCAGCAAGTCTTCCCACGTATACAGACTTAATGATACCAATCCTATTTACGCCCATCTGGCTAAAAATAGTCGCTGCTTACCAGGATAAGTAAAAGCTGTCGTAGAGATGGTGTAGGATTGCTGTGTAAAATTAGTCTTTTTTGCCTGGTTTGTATGAAAAGATCGCATATACCTATTCCAGCAAAGCAAGTAAACATAAACAGAAGAGATTTATAGTAAAATAACAAAAAGAAAAGCAATTCATATTATTCAAACGAAATGTGTGAGCCTATAGATCCCTGAACTGATCCAATGATTACGATTTACAGGTATCATCCGTGATTCTGCCTCATGTCGGCTCTCTCATTTTTTCAGACAACTCTGTTTTGGGTGAGAAAAGCCCATGGCAATGTACCCGTCGAAAGAGTCCAGAAAGTATGTTTCGCTTCCATTCACATGTAATTAGGAAAAATCGGTTGGAGCAGCCTCATGATTATCAATTGCTTGTTTATAGTTGCTCAAGTAGACCGAGCTTCCATTGCTTTGAGTTCGCTGATTCGTGACAAATCAGTCCACAAGGATAAACTCAGTGCGCCTCAGCTGTCCCATATAAGTCTTGTACTCATACGCTTTTAACCACACACCTTAATGAATTTGAATGCGAAGAGAACGCTTGCTCTATCGCGATAGGAACTGTCGAATGTTGGAAACTGTGTTCTTCTCGTGTTCATGCATTTTTCGGCATAGGATATGTCTCGCTAAGTGTTCACTCAAAATTACCCCACCCAGCCTCCCGTTACCGAGCGAAAGGAGAAGACATAGGATAAAACTTTCTGTCAGCTTTTTGTCTGCTCAGCCGAATGCCTTTCGGAATTGCAAAGATGATTCAATGTGTTTATGGCATATATTTACAATGACTTGTGGGGTGCAGCCGGTACAGCTAACATTGTTTCCTAAACGACTCTGATCCTAACTAAAGACCGCAGGAGAGATAGTGGTCTATCAAATATATCAAACTATCAGATCTTGTCCACTCACTCGACTCTTCTCGTTGGAAAGTGGAAGCGCAACATTACCTGCGATTGTGAGCGGTAGTTTGTTGGAAATTTGGCCTTCGAAAAGTATAGTTTGGAACTGAACATACATACATCTTCCAATGCAAAAACACGAAAACATCAAACACGTCGGTTTCTAATGCTCTGAGATCTTTCTTTCAGAAGTTTTCTTCCAACCCGAGGCAATCTTTCCTGCATTCAGGTAGGTTTCCTGTACTACTCCTATTACTTCGATCTTTGTCGTATCGTTATATATTTTACTTACTTTCAAATTTATGGCAACTTGTTGACTGTAACTGTTTGTTTGCGATTGTGACTTGTTTGTGATTCCTGTAACTAAAATAGCTGCTTTTCAGTGATCCAGCCAGTTGGAGTGTGGACGACAAGCCTTTATTGCATATGAACATGGTGCCGGGACCTAAGGTAAATATATTCGCTTATCATTATATTTCGGTAATGTGATACTCACTAGTATAAAAAGGCCAAAAACAGAAGTTTCATGTTGATCGGATCTTTTCTGGACGGGGTACATACGCGGTTTTCTTTCCTTCGTCATCGTCAATCTAGACACCACTTTCGCCCATATTGGATGCTTTTTTCTCGTCGAGGTTTACCTACTGTATTATGTGATTATTAATCCCAAGCAATGGAGATAAAATAGGTCGTGTCTATTGATTGAGACAGACCCTGCAATTCTTTCTCCACTAAAACTCAACTTTCCCTCAGCTTAGTGTTGCAGGCTAATTGTGTGCTCTGAGGCGAAGCCTAGGGCTTTCTAATCATCATTTGGGAAACATATAATCAATGCTGTGCTGTAGTTTTTTGAGAATCGGAAGAGGAATGATTGAGCCCAATTCATTACTGGTTCTAGCCCTCAGGGGAGATTTAGATCGTTACGGCGAAAAAAAAAACGGGTAGCTCTTCCTGGGCTCTGCTGAGTAACTAAGGGGAATTTCACGAACTGCAATCCTAGATGAACAGATTGCGGATCGTGTGAGGACCTGCTATGTACAGCGTCTCTACATAGGAGGCTACCCAGCGCTACGTGATCGCCTTGACGAGAAATAGGAGCGTGGAATTCGTCACATGATATGGTAGCAGAAAACTAGTGGGGCGTAAAATCTTTGGAATAAAGGCCTTTGCCACCATGGAGTTTCACTTGAAAATTGTCGGTTCCTGTTTGAAAGATGTTACAAGCACTACAGTTTCAAAGATAAGTAATTAGGGCTATTGTGAAAATCTTATCATTAAGGACAGGGCAGACAGGGTAGTTTAAAGTACTCGGATACTCTCTCTGGGCTGTGCTCAGCACAAAGACTCTGTTGAGCATGAAGGTGCCTCTAAGAAAGCAATTCCGCCCTTTACTCAACGATCTTACGATTGTTCGAGAAAATTCCGAGTAGGATTCAAAACTGATGTGAATACTCCGATATCGTTTAACGAGGATTCCACCTTATGTGTAATGGCCGGAGAGCCGCAGCTGAAACTGCAGCAGTCGAAGTCTACAGTAAATAGTGGCTCACTCCCTCCCAGATAAGAAGGCGTCCGCAGATGAATCCATTTCCCCTACCTCATGAATTACTTATTTTGCACCAATTTCGTCTGATTTATCTGATATTGGAAGCGCAGAATTACTTCTTTTTTCCCTTCTCCCTTCATTCTGGCGCGGGAATGATCCACCCTTCTCACTATCAGAATTTCCTAGCCGTAAGTAATCTACTGTAATATATGGTCCAGTATCAAATATTTCAGGATGATGTCATTTTCCACGACGTGGGAGCCTTCCAAATATCAATCGACGATCAGGTTACAGTCAACACTCTGAAAGTGTCGAAAGACTGGGTGGGTCCGAACACCGGATAATCGATATTTTATTCTTTTTTAGGTACAATAATAGATTCCTAATACGTTCCTTGTGGTTTGATTCGGAACTACAGTTCTTTCAAATCGTTGTGCCGGCTACAAAGATGCAGTACCTCCGTCGTGGTCCGCAATGCCATCTTTCTGACAGATTTTGTTCTTTGAGGCACTGCAGGATCGCGCCACGTATACTGACTGTATCATTGTAGCCTGCCGTAGAGTTTTTAGGAAGTTTATATAAACAATAAGACGAGATGAAATACCAATACAACGATAAAAGGCGATCAAAATACCCGAATGAACAGAATGGCGAGAATGAGTGACGTCAGATGCAAAGAAAAAAAAAGTATGAACGAAGTAAATTACAGAGAAGTATGATCGCGCGACATAGTAGATGCGTAATGATGATCACAGCTGAAAAGCAAATTCACAACTTTGTACAACGAGAGTTATAAATTTACAGCGTTTGATATGGATCAGGATATCGATCCGAGCGTTTCGCCCATGGCCCACGTGCCCATTTTCATTTCACGAATGATGAAGGACACAAAATAATTCCATGCATCCAGTGCAGCTTCTCGTTCCTAAGCAGTTAGAGCTCAATTACATCTTTACTCAACCGAAAACTTATATTAACGGTACTCTTATTTTCACAGATTTCTGATGGTTCTTTTTATCTTGCACAATATTCTTCAAATAACAACGATGACGTTGTTATAGGGCAAAGTGTGAGGTTATCAGATTAAAGAACTCCGAAAAAAAGAAGACCGTAACCATGCTCTCAGATAGAGCTTCCCGGCACAACTTGCAAAATGGTAAGCAGCACTGGACCTACTTTGTATGATTAGGATTGTAAGGAAAGGATCAGCCACGAGGTCAATTTAGTGCTGAGAAGTTCCTTTTGTTGTTCCCAATTCCACTCCTTATCCTTGCAACCTCGTCAAGGTCCTATTTCAATCAATTAGTCCGAACCAGCTACAACAACATTTCAAATCTCTCCAAGTGGGGTAACGGAACTTCTCCCCGATTGCAGCATTCTCCCTTGCGGCATGCGGCAAATGTCACTGCAACTACCGTACTCCCCCCGCCTCCCCGCCAATCGATAGGACGCGAAATTTTTCGTTGATTGCCTTTCTTTTTCATTAGATTTAAACGCTTTTTTCTACTTCTTTTTCATTTTCATGTTTATTA